GAGAGAGAGCATGAACGGGGGAGGGGCAGAGAGAGAGGGAGACACAGAATTGGAAACAGGCTCCAGGCTCTGAGCCATCAGCCCAGAGCCCGACGCGGGGCTCGAACTCAAGGACCGCGAGATCGTGACCTAGCTGAAGTCGGACGCTTAACCGACTGCGCCACCCAGGCGCCCCTAAACTTTTTGACACTATTGGTAGAAGAGAAGGGGATCTGCTTGACAAAAAGAGTCAGAGGTAGAAAATGAGCCTCCCAGCATCCTGTGAACCTATGTTCCAGCAAAAGTGGCTAATGAGGGGGCACCTGGGTGATTCAATCGGTTGGACATCCGACTTCAGCCCAGGTCATGATCTCACGGTTCATGGATTCAAGCCCCACGTCGGGCTCTGTGCTGACAGCTCAGAGCCTGGAGGATGCTTTGGATTCTGTGTCTCCCTCTCTCTTTGCCCCTTCCCTACTCACACTCTGTCTCTCTCTGTCACTCAAAAATAAATAAACACTGAAAAAAAATTGTTTTAAAAAGTGGCTAGTTAGGATATATGAAGATTAGTCATTTCAAGAACAGATGTCCAGTATTTCTAATCTCTTTTTGTGAGTAGATACTAAGTTGGGCTAAACTTTTTTTCTATCCGTCCCCAAACAAGGTTTTACTCTATAAAACCAAGCCATTCTTATGAAAAAAGAAAAAAAAGAGAAAAAAACAAGAAGAAGAAGAAGCAATGACCAAGGTCCCCAGAGTTTTAAAATTCAATTATGGTATTTTTCAGGTTAACTTGGATTTCCTTTTACTTTGATGCCTTTTTTTTTTCATCTCATAATTTGAATTTGGATTTAGACAGCATTCTTAAAATTTTTTTTTTCAACGTTTATTTATTTTTGGAACAGAGAGAGACAGAGCATGAACGGGGGAGGGGCAGAGAGAGAGGGAGACACAGAACTGGAAACAGGCTCCAGGCTCTGAGCCATCAGCCCAGAGCCCGACGCGGGGCTCGAACTCACGGACCGCGAGATCGTGACCTGGCTGAAGTCGGACACTTAACCGACTGCACCACCCAGGCGCCCCTAGACAGCATTCTTAAAGCCTTCCTGAATTGAAAATTAGATATTAAAAAGTCCTAAAACATCCATCAAAACAATGGAGTGAAAAAAATGGCAACTAACATCTTGTGACTTAGCAATAGAGCACAATCTTTCAGATGGTGCTAAAATAGAATAATAAAAAAAAAAAACTCTGATGTATAATTTTCATTTTATTTTATTTTCTTCTCATCTCTTTTCTCTTCTACCCTTTTGGATTATGAGTCCTATTTGATGGGTTATTTTCAAAGGGGACTCAGTATCACCTTATGCAAATAAATAGTTTCATCATTGTAAAATAGAATGCAACAAGAAATGACTAGATCTTGCCCCTAATGTATCCACATATGGAAGAAAGAATACGTTCCCTGTATCAGGCTGCTGTGAGGTGATGATACATACATGTGAGAATTAAGTTTATAAAATTAATAAGTGGAATGATCTTAGCAAAGATTGCTCCGGACCAGTTTGAGTGTGTCTTGTATGTTTTGACAGAATTCTCCATTCCTCCTTCTGGGGAATTTACAGTCCAGTTTGAACACATATGAATGGAGACATACTCTGTAAAAACATAGCAACATAGCATATAAAATCCTATTATGGGTACCAAGGTCCTAGTGTCCATGAGTTGTAGAATTGAGACTAACACATAGATCCCTGACTCCAAGTCAAGATTTCTTAGAGGAAAGCTAAGCCTGAGGTAAATATATCTGAATCAAAGGGATATTGAGACAAAGACCTTTTATAAGAGGGCAAGAAAGAGATGGGGTTGATGTCTATATAAAAAGGAAGCAAGATGTTAGGACAGAATTCTTGAGTTTTAGGAAAAAAAGACAAAAATTTTCTTTTAGGTAAATAGGTAAACATGTGAGAAATAATGCTGAAGGCCATGCAGTTATTGGAGGGAAAAACCACAGGCCTCATCTTTATAGGCAGCCTTAGAATTAGGGTTGGAAATAATGTAAGACCCAGAGTTGGAGGCAGGCCATTGAAGATCCAAAACCAACCTCTTCTTATTAGCTATGGGCAAGCTAATTCACTCCTAAAAGCATCTAGTTTCTTATTCTTTAAAATGGTTATAACTAATAAAAAATATAAACCAAACTCCTTATAGAGTTTTGAGCATTGGACTAAGGTAGCTTGTGTACAGACAGCACCCAGAATGAGTGGTATGGTGTAACTACCAAATAAATGTTAATTACTGCTGTTTTTCCATAGAATTTACTTATTTGTGGTCAAGAGCATGGGGCTTTGGAATGTGACAGTATATCAGTAGAATGCTTATGGTAGTAAGTAACAGAAAATTCAATTTCTAGATAATAAGGAAACTTATTAGCTCACTATGTGTGAGTCCAAGGTAGGATGTGCTTCAAGATTTGTTGATACAGTATTTCAATAATGTCGGTCACTCTTCCATTCAGAGTGTAGCTTCATTATATATGGGTTTCCTGGATGTTTGTAGGATGGCTACATCAGCATTCATATCTGGTAGGTGAGAGAGAATGCTTCCCCAAATCATCAAAATTCCTGCTGAGCAGTACGACTGGATCACATATCCGCATTTATTAACTGTGGCCAAAGAAAAGCCAGACTCTGATTGTTTAAGACTTTGATTCTTGAACCAATCAGCAGAAAACAGGATGGGATTTTCATGATTCTCAGGTCCCACTTCGAGAGCTGGGGTCAAATTTGGGCTTTAGGGAATCAGACCCAGTGTCCACTAGTGAAAACCTGGGTTGTAACACATAACTCGCTATGTGCTTGGGCAAGTTACACAACTTTACTAAACTTAGTGAATTCCTTTATCTGAAAAAGGGGAATGAAGATTAATTCAGATACACAAATAATAATGAAAACAAAAGGTTCTGCAGAAGGCTTGGTGTATAGTAAATACCCAGTAAATTGTTAGGGTCATTACTATTATTCAACTGCATACTTTCATATTACATAAAAGTTTTAAAATTCTCTGCCTTTCTGGGTAAAGTGTAAGCTTTTTGAGCATATAAGCAATGTCACTCTCATTTTTTACCTTTGAAGGCTTACTTTTAATAGATGCCCAACATATTTCTATAACAAATGAGTGAATAAATGAGTGTTGAATGAATGAATAAAAGCTTGAAAATAATAGAAGGCAGATATAAAAGAAAGACAACCAGATGGGAACTGGATGAGTTATAAGTCAGGTAGAATATGGGAACAAAATTGACGAATCTGAGAAAGACTGTATTTGAGAGAAAGAAAATGCCAGATGTAGAGAGGTCTTTTCCCTACACACTAGAGTGGCTGTAGGAAGTGAACCGAATACAGTTTGAGTTTAGGGTAACCAGCTCAAAGGTGCTGTGATGTCTTCAGACACTGTGTTTTACAGTTTGATAAATATTTGAATAAGACTTTTATCAATACTGTAATCTAGAGGAGGTAGAAGAAATAATAATAATAATAATAATAATAATAATAATAATAGCTACTAACTACAGGAAATATTTCAAGCATTATTCTTTTTTTTTTTTAATTTTTTTTTCAACATTTATTTATTTTTTGGGACAGAGAGAGACAGAGCATGAACAGGGGAGGGGCAGAGAGAGAGGGAGACACAGAATCGGAAACAGGCTCCAGGCTCTGAGCCATCAGCCCAGAGCCTGACGCGGGGCTCGAACTCACGGACCGCGAGATCGTGACCTGGCTGAAGTCGGACGCTTAACCGACTGCGCCACCCAGGTGCCCCTCAAGCATTATTCTACATAAACTCATATAATCCTCAAAACAAACCTGTGAGTTAAGTACTATTCTTTTCATCCCCGTTCCCATTTAGAGATTGGAAAATCAAGCCCGTAGAAACTGAGAAACTTGCCTCAATCACGTAGTGTTTAGCCATTACACTCTGTACTGTGTAATAAAATAGAAGGGTGCCTGGAACAACCAGGCTACATCTCCAAGCTATCATGTACTCGGTTGAAATTTGTCACTGTCCATGAGGAGCCCAACAGGTCTCCAAGGTCACTGAGAGCTGAGAGGCACAGCCAACAGTTTATGACATATGTGTTCCCTCTGGCTCTCACATTGTGCTTTTATAATCTCCAGAACATAACAGAATGGCTGCGAGGCACCAACTAAACAAATAATTGCAAGTGAATGATTGTGTGGATCAATGCCACTTTATATATGACGTTCCCACTTTATTTCCGTGATGGAGCAACTTCTTTAGGCTTCCCCATTTGGTAAATTATCTTTAAAAACTTACTGTGCTTTTCAAGATGAGACAGCATGCTTCACAAGAATTTTTGGAATAGTATGAAAGAGATACTTAAAGGTAATTCATGCCTCCAAGGACACACTGGGAACTGGAATGAATACAAGGTGTATGTCCCTTTCCAGAGACTCTCAGAATTGTTGCTGAGCTGTAGAAAAAATGCACAATAAGCTGTCTGAATGAAAGGAAATGCTAGTCCAGGGGCTCTCCAAGGGAATTCAAGAATGAGACACTATCAAACTCCCCTTTCCTCAAGAGGAATCTACAAACAGTAAAACAAAGCTCATCATCCTTAGACATTTTCTAGTGATGGTTTAGCCTAGATCTACCTCCAATCAGATCTTAAAAACAGTACAGATTTCACATGTAAAAACAAAGTACGTTCTTGAAACATAAAAGGGTGAGCATTGAGGTTGTTGCATTAGAAATCTCTCTGCCTGTTGTAATTATGTAGTCTCATCTCTTGCCCAGAAAGATCTTTATTACTAAATATAAAGTCAATATTATTTCATTTTCTCTCTATACTAATCTTTTTCAGCTATGAGGAATATTCCAGAAGCCATTTTCATGTTTAATAGATATTGGTGGCAGGTAATTCATGTGTCAATTAGACTTTTGAAAGCAGCTTTAAAAAAATCACTGGACTTACATGCCCTTACAAGAAATGTCTTTAGCTTGCAGCCTCTGAAGGAACAAAATCAAAACTGCTTGAGCAAGTTTCCTGGCTGGAGGAAAAACTAGGGGCTCTGGATCATAAGGAAGACAGTGGTGAGCCATACGAAAAAATGGTTCTTGCAAAAGACCAGGTAGGTTGGAGAAGAAAAAAATAATGTCTATCTCAAAAAGTTACCTAAACTTCTATGAAATGACAATTCTGCAGTCATTTCTGGCTAGGTTGGAAATTCAAATTTCAGTTCAAGATGGTAAATAATATTTGTGTCGGCTAAATAGAACTACTCCCTGATGAATATTCACGTATAATAATTAATTTTGTTAGTAGCATCTTAAAAGTTTGTTTGATACGTATCCTTTGAATCATATTATATGAATACGCTATTTCTTTTGTAAGTGGTATTAACTATGCAAATGTCTCCTCATTAAAAAAAAATATTTCAATGTTTATTTATTTTTGAGAGACAGAGAGAGACAGAGGGTGAGCGGGGAGAGGCAGAGAGAGGGAGACACAGAACCCAAAGCAGGCTCCAAGCTCCTAGTGCTCAGCACAGAGCCTGACAGGGGGCTCAAACCCACAAACAGGAAATCATGACCTGAGCCAAAGTCGGACGCTTAACTGACTGAGCCACCCAGGTGCCCCAAATGTCTCCTCGTTTTTAAGGTTGAACTTAGTCAAGGAATAGTTTCTTTCAGTGTAGTAAAATGAGTGGATCAAAAATTTGGCATATGATGGGGCGCCTGGGTGGCTCAGTCGGTTGGGCGTCCGACTTCAGCCAGGTCATGATCTCGCGGTCCGGGAGTTCAAGCCCCGCGTCGGGCTCTGGGCTGATGGCTCAGAGCCTGGAGCCTGTTTCCGATTCTGTGTCTCCCTCTCTCTCTGCCCCTCCCCCATTCATGCTCTGTCTCTCTCTGTCCCAAAAATAAATAAACGTTGAAAAAAAATTAAAAAAAAAATTTGGCATATGCTTTAATCAATTATTTTATAAAAAGTTATTAATCTCTGAATCTCTGGGCATTTACATAAATTTTTTTCTTGGTCAACTCAAATGGGTTTGTAACTACCTTTGAGATATCTATCTATCTATCTATCTATATATCTATCTATCTATCTATCTATCTCTATATATATTCACATAAAAACATATGTATATGTTACAAAGACAGTATCAGACCCATCTGATACCATATATATATATATATATATATATATATATATATATATATATATGTATATATGTTATAAGACAGGTTGGCATTACCTTCTGTACATCAAGGAAACATTATTTTCCTACTCATTTCCTAAGCCTTAACATATTTGTGTTCTTTGTTGGTGGGCTCTTCATAGAATCAAAGTGAGATAGGGATGGGAGCGAGGATTTCTCAATGATGATTTCCAAAGTACCTAGCTGAGACAGCGCTGCCATTCACAGGATTTGAGAACTGGCATATATCTGAAATACTTTATATTAGACGAAGAGTTATACATTTTGTTTCTAAACGTGTCTCCTTTTCAGTGCATTGAGAAATTACAAGCTGAAGTGAAAGCTTCCCAGGAGCAACTTACAGCCCATGTAAGTGTTTTTCTCCTTTTTTTTTTTTTTAATCCCTTAATTTATACCACTGTTACCCTGGGAATGAAGGGTAATTCCTCAGAAGTTAAAACCATGGTCTTCTTGCTGCTAACCAAATCACCAGGCTAAAAATCAGTATTGTTATTGCCTCTACAAAGTTGCTTTCCGTAAGTAGAATTCTGATTTATGCTCAGGATAAAAATTACAAAACTTATCTCTCACATACAACCAGATGGTCTAATCGGGTACCATCAGGATAAGAGAACCAGAAACCAAGGGTAGAAAGACATGGAAACCAGGCTAGTGGAGTGAGTGAATGGAAGTGGAAATGACTGGCACATCGAATACACGCCTAGAAGAGTGCTTCTTAAACTTCAGTATGTAAGAATTACTTAGAAAACACTTAGAAACAAATTGCCTGGACATTCTGTTTTCTGCATGCCTAGGATATGACCTGAGAATTGACAATTCTAGATGACGCCACATTCAGGTAATGCTGATGCTGCCAATTTTGGACCATATTACAAGCAGCACTGCGTTACATGTATTCATTCTGCCCAAGTCTTGTGATTTTTAGGCAAATGACCATATAAACAAATCAGGTACACAACTGTTCATTTTCCCTGCAAGTACTCCCCTGAGGGAGACTCTATGAACTCCTAGGGTATATTTCACTGATATTTTAGCCTATCTTCATGCAGAGAGCAACTAATGAACATCTGCCACAATACCCTTGTGTGTTCACACACATAAACCAGCTGTCACCCTGCCTCTTTCCTTTCCCAAGGATCTGAACAATCCCGATGCCTTACACCTTTCCTCAAAGACTCGCTCACCTTCTTTTCAGCAATCTCCTCTATTTATCTTGGGTGCTGAGAGATGACTTTTTCTTAAAGTATATTTATTTTGAGAAAGACAGAGAGAGTACAAGTGAGGATGGGGCAGAGAGAGAGGGAGAGAGAAAATCCCAAGCAGGGTCCTCAGGGGTCAGTGCACAGAACCTGTCACTGGGCTCCAACTCACGAACTGTGAGATCACGATCTGAGCTGATGCTTACAGACTGAGTCACCCAGGCGTCCCAGGGGGGATGACTTCTTGATCAAGAACATTGGCCAGCCAGGGGCGCCTGGGTGGTTCAGTCGGTTAAGCTTCTGACTTTGGCTCAGGTCATGATCTCATGGTTCATGGGTTTGGACCCTGCATTGGGCTCTGTGCTGACAGCTCAGACCCTGGAGTCTCCTTTGGATTCTGTGTCTCCCTCTCTCTCTGCCCCTGCCCCACTCACAGTCTGTCTCTCTCTTTCCCAAAAATAAATAAACATTAAAAAAATAAAAAAACAATGGCCAGTCATGTTAAATGGCCAATTGGAACAACAAACTTTTCAGACCCATGTGAGACCTGAGGGGCTACAGTCTAGAAGTCCTGCAGAAAAAGACTGCAAAATAACAAATTCTGGTCACCATCCCTTTGATATTTGAAATGAGCTAATCAGGATAAAATCACAGTAAATGCCTTTTTTTTTTTTTTCTGGGATAGACAAAAGCTAATCTGCTTTTAGCTCTGACCTCAGAATGTCTTTCGGCCTTGTATGTCCAACTGACCAATAGTGAAAATGATTAAAGCCTGCATTTGTGACATGGTGACATATTCAAACACAAGTATATCTCATTAGCTCAGTGTTCTGTTGCAGATGCCTCCCCCAACTGACCCTGAGGGTGACAGATAATTACTATTGCCAGAGGATGTCTCCTCATGCCAGATTGATACCTACAGCCATTCGCCCAGGGTGGGTTGAGTTCAGAAATTTTTTAAGGAGAGCAGATTGTTCACTAAGGTTCTGATATTAGCTTCCAGCATCTCTTCATGAAAAGCTGATTAAAGAAACATAGTCACAGATGCCTTCAGGTAATTCCTGTGGTGTCTTCCTCCATTGCCTAGCTTCTGCAGATTCTATTCCTGTACCATGCTGTTCCTGGCCCAGGTTTGTCTGAACTGGGATTTCTTTCTTGTATTAGAGTATTAACATCAACAACTGAGATCTCTTCTGTGTAAGTGCTCCATGTTCAGATTTTAATAGAGCAGTGTGATCACAGAAGCTTTGCTTCAACTCATCAAGAAGATTTAAATGAAAATATTAGTTAATAGTGTTTATTGAGAGTAGATTATGTGTCTAACTGTGTGGTACATGCTTCACCTATTTTCTATTTTAAATCTTGACACAACCCAACAAGGTGGGCATTATTTTCAGGTAATAAAACTGAATATTCAAGCTTAGATCACTTGTCACACATGTCAATTCTGAAACCCATGCTTTTGCTATTACAGTTTGCTGTCTTTCCAAATTATGTTCTCCACATGCCATTTCACATATCAAATGGTGTTTATAGAGGTTCTTTCTGCAATCTTCCTTCTCTCTCCATTCACTCTGAGTGATTCATCAGTTCATAATGCTTCAACTCTCACTTCCATGCAAATAAACAACCCCCACCACCCCCAACAAATTCTTTCTATCTTGATCATCCTCTAATTACACCTCCTTAGTGCTGTAATGAGCATTTCTTAAGACAGTGTTCCTGAAAATAACATTCCAAATGATGTTAAGAGGTATTCTGGAAAATAAATGGGAGAGACATTGGAAATGAAGTTAAATTAGATGGGTTTAGTGGCTGTAAGACTTACCAGTGTATAATCAATCTTAAAGAAAGGGCAATAGTATGTTGTTTTCAAATGACCATAAATGCTGTTTTAATCACACAAGTTTGGAGACTGCTAGCATATTGCATCAAATTAAAGCACTGTGCTTGCTAAATATGACTTGAATATCTTGCTGACACCCTAGGCTCAGCATATACAAAGTCAAATTTATCATCTTCTAATCATATCTCTTAAATGTGCCCCTCTTTTTGTAAACCTAGTCACTGCAAATAATATCGCACGACTGTAATTTATTCTAGATCCAAACTACCAAACAGTATTAAAATCCTACCTTTCTCTGTCTTCATTCCACATTTAGTTAGTCGTCAGGCTGTGAGAATGTTTCTAAGAGTTATCTCATTTTTTTGTCTGCTCTGCCATCATACTGCCCTATCTCTAACTCTTCACGATCATCTTATATCTTACTGCTATGGACCCCACATTATTAACATATTCGAGTTCAGGACCTCCCACTGTTCCTCACCACAACCCAAATCACCACGTAGCCCTCTTGCTTTCACACCATCAAGTTCAGTTTGCGGAGGAGAGAAAGGATAAAATCCATGTGTGAGTCTGTGGGGTGGGGGCAGAAAACCAAACAGAGCCAAAGAGTAACACTGAAAGGGAGGATGAAACCTTTTGGAGTACCAGAGAAGAGAACAGGGAGTGAAGGACCAAGGTGGTAGAATGGAACTCTGTAGATGGGGAAGGGTCCTTCTGGAATAGGACACTGGAAGTTTCTTGGAAGTTTTAATATTGAGAATACAGTATTATTAATAGCAAGAATACATTATTCAAGTATGAACTTGAATCGCCCTGTTCGGGAGTCATGCGTAAAGTGTGGAATGTCTGTTCAGACCGTACCTCCTAAACATAACACTACTGTAGGATATGATGGTGTAGTAGTCCACTGGCTTCCCTGCCTCTGCTCTGAATGAGGTTTCCAAAGGACCATCCGTACCCCCTCGTCTCCCTCTTTCTTTCCCCAACCTCTCTCTGCCTCCCACTGAATGAGCCAATAAAATGGCACTGCTGTCTCTCTTTACACATCCCATGTCAGTTGGTGCCCTGTGAGTTGGAGTTGGAGCCCTCTGTGTTGTCTTGGTTTTGGACTATCCTTCCCTCTGCTCTTTATCCAAATAATTCTTACTCTTCTTGCAAGACTGATATCAGGGATTAAGCTCTCCCTTAGCCCCCAGAAAACCTTCTCTGGGCTCCGACAGCCTCTTGTATATACATCTATTTTAGCTCAAAATACTACTTTTTATTGACATTATCTGTTGGTATTTCTGTCTCCTACTAGACTTGAAGGTCACTGAGGGCACCATCAAGAATGGTTCTCTGCATCCATTATCTCAAGTAGAGGGCCAGGCACATTGCAGCCACTCAATACATTTGGTAAAGTCAATTGAATTTTTCTCTAATCATGTAATTTCCCCTATTCCAAAGCCTAGAGTAAGACAATGGTCGCCCATTACTCCAGAACAAAGTCCATCCTGCTGACCGTGGCATTTATCACACTGAAAATGAGAGCGTGTCCCCTTTTCCTTCCTGCTCTGTATCACACATCTATGACTCCCAGGAATGCCCATGCACTCCTGCCCTAGGGGTTCTGCTCATGGTTTCTCTCTGCCTGGAATGTCTGTCCCCACCAACAATTTTAATGAAGAGTGACAGATTTTCCCCATTCTTCATCAAAATTTTTCCTTTCAGGAAGTTTCTCCTGACCATCAAACCAGAAGTAATCTCCCTTTCTTTGGCACTTTCACAGCACATCTCTACACTTCTTTTTTGTTACTTGTCACACTATGGCCCACAAGACAATTGAGCGATGAGCTAGCTCTTCCCCAAGACTGTGAGCTCCTAGAGAACAGGGAGCAAGTCTGTTTATCTTTATGCTTTGCACAGTGTCTGGCTCAATGCCTTGTTCATATTTCACTGAAGTGAATTACTGAAATGGCTAAATTAAAAATAAAGTGATTTTGGCATTGATAGGAGCCTGCTTTGAAATTGTATTTCTTAAAAAAATGCCAGTTACATAAGGTGCTACTGTAATCTGAAATTGATACTTTCAAGGTGTAACATGGATGGGACAAAAGGTAATGATATCTTAGAATGGAAATAGAATGAAAAAGCAGCAGCAAAAGTAAACACCATTCTGGGAAACCCCTATTTCAAAAGAAGTAAAAAGAACACCTAAAGGAAATGATGATCTTTACATGAAAAGTAACAATCTTGGGGCCTCCTTTTATTCAGAGGTCACTTATCTAAAACCCAAGAGTTGAACTATATTTTTGTATAATTAA